CATCCTCTTCCGTGTGACTCTACCCCAAGCCCTCACTTTTGGATCCTAGTGCATGTCCCTCCACTGCTGCCCACTGCTGTGATCCGCCCCTCCCCACTCCATCCATAGGGATCCCGGCTTGAGGGACAATCCCCCCACACCTGCTCCTTACCCAAGTGTGGGATGAGCAGAGATTGTCTGGTGCAAAGGCTCCTTCCCTGATGCAATGAGCACTAACTGGCAGCACACAACAGAGCCTTGCACCCAGGGTTTCAAGAGGGAAAGTTTGTGCCTCCAACAGGCCGTGCTTTCATCAGAAACCTCCAGCCTGAGTCCCTTGGCAGGCCATGCCTCAGTCACAGAAACCCAGACAAGCAACTTTCAGGAACAGGGGCATTTATACCAGGGGATGCTGAGCTCAGTTCAGCCTGATGCCCTCATGTTGCCCCTGCTGCAGAGACACAGCCCCACCGTTAAGTGGCTGTTTAATGGACAGGCACAATTCATGGCTTTGGCAGAGCAGCCGCCAAGGGCAGGTCTATGCCAGCAAAGGCACACCATGGGCAGCACGGCACACTTGAAATGGACTGTAGTCACCAAGAGCAGCACTAGGCACATGTTAGCACAACTGCTCAAGGGCAAAGGTTTACTGGAGACTGCCTAGCCTTGATTGAAGGCAATTACATTATGCTTTGGGGCACAGTGTACATAAGACTGAGCACACCAGGCTGGCATGAAGCACTTCCTAGCGTGGTCCATGGTGTGGAAGTGATCTTTACCTCTGAACCTACCTTAAAGCATGGCAACTGGAGAGTCCAGTTTGTTGCTGTGGACATGGGGAAGAGGTTAACCATCTCCAATAGCACAGAAAAAGAGCCCGGATGGAGATCTGTAGAATAAGGACTCTTCAGCAAAAGGGGGAGGCCAGCAGCCATCCTCGGGGAGGAATATATAGGAGGAACCTTTCGCAGGAGGTACCAGAAGCCGTATTATGGCATCAATGGCAGCGTGACAAGGGCTGGGAGTGCGGGAAGGGGGGCGAGTGGGGAGAAGAGCAGCACTTTCATGAAGTGGGAGCAGACTATGACTACCCACATGCTGCGTGGCATGGGCACAGCCTGCAATTCAGATGGAATCCATCTCAAGAAGCCCCAAAACAACACCTTTGCATAAATCTCCCCTTCATTTATAAGCCGCTGGGATCCGGGTTGTATTTCTCAGTTATAATGAATGGCTCTGCAAGCCACCTGACAAACAATCAAAACAAATGCACATGCTCAGATCCACTATGCCTAATACACCAAACACACTCTGCCTGGGTGGGAAAAAATGCTGCATTTTCAAGTGTGTTACAAGGAAACTCTCTAAACACTGGAAGAAGTGATCAGGGATGAGCAGCACCGGAGGTTTTATCTGAATCCAGTATTAGGATTCTCAGCAAGCAGGTGGCAAATTAACTGCCTTGCTCCAGGTGACACACAGTGGCCACTGGCAGCTCCCTGAGAATACACGCTGCACACCCTTTCTGCAGGCAAACTGTGCATCTGGATTAAGATTTCATTGTAAAATCCATATGCATGCTCACTGAGTATAAAATGACTATGCCCCATGCCAGTGGTAGAGTTACTAGTCTATGTTTGGATCATTTGGTGCAGAAATCCTGCCCTGGTAAGGAATATACAAAGCAGCCCAAGTTTCTCGCGCACACGTAATTTTAGGATTGTCCTGGAAACTTGTATGGTTAAAAGGGGCTGGGCTGGAGTTCAGAGGGAAATTTGCAGTTTTTAGGCTGACACTTCTCTGAGCGATAGCCCTCACTAAGAGGAGCTGCATATAACATTTTGGAGTCCTTTCATTTTTTTGGCTGCAGAGATAGTGAAAAAAAAGAAATCTAAGGCTTTGACCCAGAAAAGGGCACTCCATGGTATGAACTTAAAATCTACTGCTGAACTCCATCAAGGGCCAATTTAGGACTATTTCAGAAATCATTGCACTTGAAAAACTGATTAACAGCTCACATCTGTAAGAGCCAGCATTTCTGCAGAGGCTCGTGCATGAGTAATGACAAGCGCTCACAAAGAAAGACACCTTTGCAGTGGCATAAGGACACATTCAGAGAGGATTCAGGCTCATTATGTCTCTCAACTCCATTTAACTTCACCTCAGGAGCGATAATATGGATCACAGGGTAAAATACTGTATGTACTAGATCCATGAACTAAAGGGCCAGAATATGAACCAGCCCTGAAACAACACAGATGCTATGAGTTTGTGAAAGTAGTAATTGCTCTGTCAGCGTAAGAGCCCTACCGAGATTCATCTAACTCCAGAGCAGAGTTGCTACAGCATGGGCACTGCAATTATGCCCATCTGTAAGCAAGACTGAGCGGGCAAAATATTAGCACCCGTGAGATCTCCCTCTCTGCAGCACAACGAGAGCAACTTCTCAGAGGAAGACGCTGCTGCTACTAAGAGAAGAGAGCGGGCAGAGCTATTCAGGAATTACCTGGGGTCAGAGCTGTTCAAAAGGAGCAGCAGAGCTCAGGCTCCCCTCAGAAGCTCACTTCTCACCACCACCCAATTCTCATTCCCTTTGACAAAAGGCCTTGCACGCTCCACCGTGGGTCTCATCTACCTACAGTTATTCCAGATGAGAGAGTCCACAACAACTGCTCAGAAATAGCTACTGTGCTTTAAATCCACTGTCTCCCTTAACGAACAAACCCTTAGCTGCTGTTCTGGTCCTGAAGTCTCGGACTATAGTTTTCAACTTGAGGGTCCCCTCTGCTGCCCACGCTTTTTGCCAGAAGGAGGACTAGGCCCCCCTTCCATTTGGGAGAGCTACTCACAGCACACTTCATACACATCACTCAGACACAAGTTGGGGGAAGATGTATTTTGGAGAGGATGTGGGGGTTGTTTGGTTGGTCTTGGACAAACACTACCTACGGCATTCAGCCCCCTGCGCAGAGACACATGATGGAGCGCAATAAATAAGGGCACAGAAAGAATAAGAGTCAGGAGGAATGGGTGGTCTCATGGCACTGCTTGGCACTGACACTTGTACCTTTGTTTCCAAAAGTATTTCAGCAGCAGAGCATCACGCTGGTAATTGCCTGTAGCATTTGTGAGAATGCAGGCATAAATCACCAAGATAATATAACTCTGCAGACAGGGCTCACTGTCCAACAAGTCCCCCAAGAGCCTTTCATCCCTGTCTAAGAAGTTGCACACTGCCTCGGCTATGGGCAGTCGCAGAACACTAAATTAAGCAAATGAGCCCTCTTCCCCCACAAAATGATTCACTGCTATTTTGTTTAACTATGACAGCACTGGGAGAAGTAAAAGGCAATTTTACCAGGAAAATCAAAGTGCCCTACGATATCTCAGGACGCCACTCAGGCTAGCAGTACCTCTGGTGTGTAAATATAGGTACTGTGTGTGCATCAGTCCCTTTCAACTGCGAATTTCGGGTCCATATCCTGGCCTGAGCCCCGGCTGTGCTAGATCTGGAAGGTTACCTTCCATTACGATAGCCTGTGATTGCCTCTTGGCCAGCTCTTCCTAAGCAAGTTCACAACTAAGTTGCACAGTAGTTGGCTAGGACCTGTGTATCCAAGGGGGGTTGAGGGAGAAAGAGAAGATGCTACATCTGAATGCTGTGTTGGCTGTTTCAGGTATGAATGTCACTAGCTGGTTGTCACTCTTTCATGTGCTGTGTTTAAGGAGTTCACAGTTTCTCCTTCCCAGGGTCACTGATCATTAAAGTCTCTACGTTCAAAATCAGAGCAGTACTTCCCCAACCTGATGTTCAGGGTTGAGTAAGTTTAAACTCCTATTTAAACATTGCACTAGGTTTAAACTCCTCAGTTTAAACTTAGTACAATGTTGCCATATAGACTAGATCCGACAGGTTCACCCAGGAATAACAGATGTGCCCCCTGCACCTAACGACTTTGTTAAATGCACCACAACGTTGTGGCAACTTCACTTGCAGCTTATTAAACCTTTGAGGTGTCCGGACGCAGTTTCCCTGCCTTGCTGTAGACGCAAACAGAGGCACAGCTCACACCAAGATACAGTTTAAAGTCTATCATTTTTAAGTGGCACGACAAAGAGCTTACAAAGTCACTACTGTGCAGCTTCTATCCAATGCTTTACAACGACAAAAAAATACAAAATTGGGGAATGGCAGGAAAAAGTCCATACTCAAAACACACATGCACCGTGCTTAGACGTGACTAATATCAGGATTGCACAGACCAAATACAGACACCTTCAATTGTTAAAACAAATGCAAAACTTCAGAACTCGTGGTTCAGAGGTACCTTTTACTAACAACAAATCACAAAAAAATAAAAACCCATTTCTGCAAGCTCGTGGGCACGCACGCCTGAAATGTTTAAACACGCATCCTTGTCAAACTTTCAAATTATCCACTGACAAGCAAGCAGAAGACCTAACTTGTGGATCTTATCTGATCACTAACAAGCACAGCAGCCTTAAGATCAGGTAGGCTAAATACACCGAAAGCAGGATAATAAAAGAAGAGCCATACAAGCAAGGGCTCAGCCGCCCCGTAACCCTCCTCCCTGCTCACTTGGAGACCAACCTTGCCCCTTCCCTCTCAGGCAAGCGTCGCACCTGAGTGAGGACCGCAGGGCCGAGTCCCTGGCAGGCAGACAGACAGACAAACTGGAAAAACAGCCCGCAAAAGTTTGAAGACAAAAAGCCGCTTTCCCAGAAAAGCCGCAAACCCGCATCCGGCCTGCGGCTCCATCACCCCGCCACCTGCGCCCGGCTCCGTGGCACCGCCGCCTCTTTACTTGGCTCGGCGGGGACACGGCAAAGCGGACGCCCGTCGCCTTCTGGGTGCCCTCCTCCGAAAGGTGACTTGGGGAGGGAGGGAGGGAGGGTGGGCGAGAGGCAGGGGAGAGGGGCTGCAGGTGGGGAGGCGCCCATCCCTCGGCCCCTTGCCGGCTGGAGAGGGCGCGGGGGGCGGCTGCAGGGACCCGGCTCACCCGCGTTGCGGAGCTTCTTGTTCCTCAGCACGGCCAGGATGACCAGCACGTTGCCCAGCACGTCGGCCACGATGGTGAAGATGAGCACGGCGGCCAGCAGCAGGGCTCCTGCTGGCCCCTGGCTAGCGGCCCGTGCCTTGCCCCTCTGCTCAGGGGTCCGGAGGGGATTCCTGGTATGGCCTGGGGGCTTTGCCGGCCTCTGGGCTCTCTCCTGTGGGCAGCAGGACACTGGCTGGCGCCCCCCCCGGCTGCTAGGTCATCTTGCGGAGAGTTGAGATGATGCGTTTGTAGGGTCCAGGATGGTTAGACACAAAGTTTTGCAAGGCAAGGCCCGCCCGGAGTTGGCACCGCTTGTACGGAGCCTGGTCCGACGGCCGAGACTTTTGTAACATCCCCAGGGGTGTGATGTGACGGCTCGAGAAGGGGCCCACCAGGACCGAGAGCAGACACTGCTCCCACCTCCCCTGGAGCACTGGTTATGAACCCGCCGTCCCTGCTTTTTCCTCAGCTTGTCCCAAGTAATCAAGCATCGCACATTTAGTGCCCCTCTTGCAGAAACAGAGGGGCTTGCCGGTTGTGAGCAGGCCTAGGCCCACAGCTAGTTGTGTGCCATAGGTGTGGGTAACCGCTCAACCAGATGTTCAGCCAGATGCACTGGGGAGATGAGGGCGACACAAAAGTTGGGCATCGCACAACTACTGGTGCCTGAAGTTGTTCAAAGAAGCTGAGAAAAAGTTGGCGCAGCCAGGAGCTGGAAAGCTGGCAGATGGTGCCACCATGCGGCCTTTTTGAGTAACACCTGTCCACTCCCACATCCTGCCACTGCTTCTCCAGAGCAGACCGCTTGCGTTCATCTCAGACCCGCCAGGTCCTGCATTAGGCCCCGATCCTGCCTACGTGCACCTGGACAGCCCCTCAGGCTGGCATGCAGCCTGGTTGAAGGCCGCTGCAGTGCACTGTAGCACTAAGCCTTTTTTTTTTTAATATTATCTGTCTGATAAGCACCTATAATTAAATAGAACGATTAACAAAAGCACCTCATTTGTTTGAAGGGAAAACCCATCTTTTTGCTGCAGTGAAAGCCTGCTTTTAAAGGAGAGTGTCGGTTATGTTTTCAGCATCTCAGAGTCTCACAATCTCGGACCGAGGGATCAGGTGGTTTACATGAACATGGCATTTTGGGGAGGAAGGTAACGTGTTCATCCAATAAAGGGTCCTGATTTTACATGGGAGGATGAGTGGATTTGGGGGACAGCCATGACAACCCCAGTGAGAGGGGGGCACAGGTTTGCAGGGGGTGGGAACTAGAGAAGAGGGGAGAGGACTTCCCTGGCTGAGAGAGGGAGAAAAGGGTGGGATGGGATGGGACATTTCTCTGCTTGTTTCTCTGCCCAGTCAGCATCCCTGGGTGTCCAGCTCAAGCCTTCCCCTCCCCACCAAACCACTCATTCCCTAAGGGAGTTTGTGGTCTAATGTGGACCATCAACCCCAAGGACCTGGTGGTATTTACCAGGAGTTGGAGGAAGGCGGCAAGCATTGCAATGGAGAAGCAACTGCGCTTATCAGGGTCATGCTGGGAAAGGGGGAGATATGGCAGCAGGGTGGAGGAGAAAACGTCCTCCAAGGCACAGAGGGAGGCACTCATGCATCTTCCCCTCCTCCATCTCTGTCAGGGTTACAGGCAGTGGAAATCCTGACCCGTTGCTGTTGCAGTTGTAAAACACATCAGGCATCTTTGGTTTTATCTGGGATGAGGCTGCTGACCTTGCACGTATCACTGAGACTTGGCTAGGGCAGTGTTTGCCCAGGTGCTCCCAGCCAGGTACTCAGTGCAGCATCAATCTAGGATCAGGAGGTGTGGGGCAGAGGATCAGTGGTCTATGAAGAAGATATGGCCTGTGGAAGGTATCCAGTGCCTAACTTGTCCAACACAGAGTGTATCTACCTCATTTTAGAGGCCAGGGGTAGATTGGGGATCCTGCTGGTGTACTGATCACCCCGCTGCCAGAGCTAGCTGAGCTGATCTCGGAAGTGGTGTTGAGGGCACCCAGACTTACTGTCTTGGGTGACTTCAACATTCATGCTGAGGCTGGTTCCTCCAGACTGGAGCAGGACTTCAGTGGACACCACAACCACCATAGGGCTTTCCCAGATAATAACTGAGCCAATACTTGAGGCAGGCCACACACTGGACCCATATTTTATACCTGCCTGGAAACAGGGGCTCCGATAATTGGGGGTGTCATTAAGATGCCACTGTCATGGTGAGCCCACTGTCTTCTAGAGGTACAGACCCCTCATCTCCAATGCCCCCACTGGAGTGGTGGACCAGCTAGGTTGGTTCAAACCCAGGGACTCATGGAGCCACTGGGACTCCATAACACTCTGAGACGCATTCCCACTGACCTTGACCGCTACTCCATCGGTGGCCTGGATGAGCTGCAGAGTAGCATACTAACCTCAGTCACAGACAAAGCAGTATCCAGGCATCTGCTCCCACCTCTGCAGCAGCATAGATTTCCCTGGTACACAAGTGAATTGAGGCAGCTGAAATGGGAGGGGAGGCAGAGCACAGGTAGCTCTTGACTTGCATCAAAGCTGACTGATTGCAGCACAGATCCCTCTTAAAGGATTTCCTTAAGTCTACACCTGTCCAGCTGTTACTCAAGGAGCCATCTCTTGACACTGATTCCCCACCTTCCTCTTTTTGGACAAGCCATGGCAGTAGCAGCAGCAAAGAAACTTTATTTCTTCATTGCCATTGCATCTACCAGGTGCCATCTGGCAAAATTGTTCCAGGTGATGAAAGGCCTGGTTAACCTAGATTTCTAGGTAGAGACGATCAAGACATCTACAGTCTGACATGATGAGTTGGCCACCTACTTTGCAGACAAAACTGTTCATATCCAGCATGGCTTGGGGAACCACCATTTTAGTTACAGAGTCAGAGTTCATGGTTGGGGAATCTCTATTTTTGTCCACTTCTTATGGGCCAGTTTCAATTGCTCTCACCCACTGATGAAGAGGTTGTGCCTGTGGGGAGGCAAGTGACCACTTCTGAATTGGACCCCTACCCATCCTGGCTTATTAAAAGCCAGAAGGGAGAGACTGGAGCCACTGGGGTTGTCAGGGGTTGACAACTAGCCTGGGAGGAGATTGGGTTGTCAATGCCTCCCTTCAGGAGAACAAGGTGCTAGATTTCCTTAAGTCTACACCTGTGCAGCTGTTACTCAAGGAGCCATCTCTTGACACTGATTCCCACCTTCCCCTTTTTGGACAATGTCACTGATGAGCAGGTGATCACCTGACAGCTCTGGATGCCATCACATTCCTGGACCCTGCCAGTCTGGCTTTCATCCTGGGCACAGCACAGAGCCTGCACTTGTGGCTTTGGTTGATGATCTTTTCCTGAAGATCGACGGGACAAATTGGGCCCTGCTGATCTTACCTCATATTTCCACAGCCTTTGATACAGTTGACTATGAAGTGCTAATAAAACAATGACATGACCTGGTGGGGATTTGTGGGACAGCTCTAAATTGGTTTTGCTGTTCGCTAGCAGGGACTCCCAGAGGACTGTAATGGCTAAGTGCTTGTCTCCTCTTTGGTATCTTTCCTGTGGGGTTTTCTAAGGCTCCAACTTGTCACCCCTCCTATCAATGTATATTAGAGGCCACTGGACAAGATTGTACAGAGATTTGGAGCGAGGTGTCATCTGTATGATAACAACACTCAGCTCTATCTCTCTTATCTAACCCAGACCCAGCAAGCTTGTTCCTTACCCAATGCCTGGCTGCAATTGAGGACCGGCTGCAGTGGAACCAGCTGAAGTTGGATTCAGACAAGACGGAGCTGATGGGGCTGGGCAGACCCCCTGACTTGTGGAGGAGAAGGACCTATAATGCCCTAAACAGTCTGGCCCTGCATACCTAAGGGACTGGCTTCTCCCTTATGTCCCACCTTGATCCCTCGGGTCAGCCAAGAACAGCCTCCTGCAGGTACCACCTGTGCACCAAGTGCTCTTGGCCAAAACATGGTGGGGGCGGGGTTTTCTCAGCAGTTGCTCCTATACTGTGCAACTCCCTCCTGCTTGAGGTTTGTCAGTCCAAACCTAGAAATCTTCTGGAAGTTCTGCAAGACATGGAAGTGCTGCAAGACATTTTTATTTGGCAAGCATTTAGCAAGCCAAGTTAACCTGGGCTATTTTTTCAAGCCTTCCCCGGGAGCATTAGGTGTTGACTGCAGCCAGGATGGGTTTTTTTTAACTGGGCTGTGTGAATGCTTCCGCTGGGACAAAGCCAGAGGTTCCTGGCTAGATGGTCTTGCCCCTCTCTTAAGGGTCAGATCAATCACCGTATTTGGGATCAGGAAGGAATTTGGGGCTGGTACAGACTGAGATATGGATTGTGCCTTCCTCTGCAGTGTGGGGGCATGGGTCTTTACCTGGGATCTCTTGAGCATACATTAACAACCTTTAACAGAAGCAGCGTGTTGGCTGCCCTGGCCCGCCTGCCTTACCCATGGCAGGTTAGGGTGTTATGTCTTGAGTTGCATCAGGGTTGATGGTAGTTTTTTTTACTCAAAGGCTAGATTATGGATTTGCATAGGTTGGTTTGGATAGGGATGGACCTACCTCAGGCAGGGGCTTGGACTAGACCCATGGAAGTCACTTCCAGCCCTACTTCTCTACGATTTTATGTTTTGTTATAGAATCATAGAAAATTCAGATTGGAAGAGACCTCAGGAGGTCACATCTAGTCCAACCCCCTGTTCAAAGCAGGACCATCCCCAACTAGATCATCCCAACCAAGGCTTTGTCAAGCTGGGTCTTAAAAACCTCCAAGGATGGAGAATCCACAACCTCTCTAGGTAACCTGTTTCAGTGTTTTACTACCCTCCTAGCGATGAAGTTTCTTCCTAATATGTAACCTCAGCTTCCCTTGTTGCAACTCGAAACCATAGCTCCTTGTTCTGTCATCTGCCATCACTGAAAACCGTCCAGCTCCATCCTCTTTGGACCCCCACTTCATGTAGTTGAAGGCTGCTATTAAATCCCCTCTCAGTCTTCTCCATAGCCAATGGGAGAAAATATTATTTGGGAGACTGGGGGGATGGAGGAAGGGCGGTGCTTGGCTCGCCTGCCTGACCCCCACCACTCCATCCAATTTGTCCCCATCCTTTTTGGAGTGGGTGCCCAGAACTGGACATAGTGCTCCAGCTGTGGCCTCACCAGTGCTGAATAGAGGGGAATAATCACTTCCCTTGATCTGCTGGGAAGTGATTATTCCCACTCTTATAGAGTGTTTCTTATTTAGTTTTCTATCTGATTTAATAAGTTATTCAGTCTTTTACTGGAAGCCACCCTAAGCCTTTTTATGGAAATGATGGTACATAAATCTAATAAATAACAACATAGTTTCTCATTGAATTTATATGGGAGAAAAGGAAGGAAGGGAAGAAACACTGGTGTTTTGGAGTAAGATATAAAAAGGCTTTTAAAATGGAAGGGGGCAAGGCACAGCTGATTTGGCAACTGTATCAGGAGTGGGAAGTAGGATTTGCACAGGAAGCGGCAGTAGAAGTCCCTGCACGTGCATCCCAGGTGCTCTCCCCACAACAGAGCTGAGGCCTGGACTGAAACCGTCCCCTGTTGCTCTAGTGCGGATGACGTGGGGCTGTTGTCAGTCCAGAGGGACACATTAGTAACTGTGGACCACCCCTGTCTAAACGCAGCAGGTTGAAATGTCACAGTGATAGAAAGGCTGGTGGCCAGTCTATGCCAGTGCTCCCAATAGAGCTGCACTTACTGGTGTTGGAGGAAACACTAGGAAGTTCTTCCATAACCCACAGGGCCGGGAGGGTAATTACCCTCCATGTAATTACCCACCTGCTGGCTCTCTCTTCAGAGACCAAGAAGAGGGAAGCTGCCAGTCAAAATCCCTGTGTCCACTGAAATTCAAGTGCTGTCCCAGGAGAAATCAAAGGAGGAGAAAGTCCCTTCAGGGAACCGAGGCATCTCTTTCCTGGCTCTTCAGGAGAGGAAATGTCACTCACAGGTATTCACTGCCATGGAAATCCTCAGGGTCTCATCAGAAAGTCCTTAACAAAGGTTAGTTTTGCCATATTTATCCATGCTTTTAACCAGCTTGTTTTCCTGGGTAGGCACTGTAGACCCAGGTGTGTGTCTCAGTGGAAATCCAGACTCACTCCATTCACTCTCTTAAAGGAATCACACTAGTGTACAAGAAACAATCAAGGAGAACACAATTAATGCCCACCGAACTGTATACTTACATGGATAAGACAGGTACAATATTTAATAGAAAAACATCGGTTTGGGTTTGGGGTTTTATTTTTTTAATTGCCTCCTTATGAATCTGCACTGGAGAATCCTAAAAATCGCAGAAAAATAAAAGCTGGAAGGAACCTCAGGAAGTCATGCAGTTCAAATCCTGGCTCAGGATAGGGACATCGCTGTCTAAACCAATCTCAGCCAAAGGTTTTCCCACCTTAGGGGGGAAAAAGGGTGATTTGCCACAGCTAGTACACTTATATGCTAGTGGAAACAAGCTGTGTTGTAGTTTGAACATGTCTTTATCACAGTGCCCATCTAACATAAATTAAACTACAACTCGCCCCGTCTACTAGGGCTTTACGTGTTACCCTCATTTCACAGATAGGGAACTGTGGTGATGACCAGCCAAAGTCACAGAGCAGGTCAGGTTGTACGATACGTTTCAGAATGTCTTTCAAGTCAATGAGGGACCAAACTAAGATACAGTTCCTAATTTAAATCGGAGCTGCTTCTGTCCCACTGGGGGACCAGGGGGAATGGAGGATGCTGGTGATGCTAGACAGATCCTGCAATCATCAGCACTTCATGTAGTCTGTCTTGGTCTGTGGGCCAGTGCCTTGGAGCCTGATAAGTAAAAAGGATTCTGCTCTATCAACATCAGGGAAAAAGCCAGGGAAGGATCTCAACAGCAAAGGAGCATTAGCAGAACAGGCAAGCTGAGAGCCAAAGCTAAGGCAAAGCAAGGCCAATATTTGTCCTTCCTAGGACTGTAAAATAGGTGGGTTTTCCCTTCAGGATTTTCCTCCTCCTCGTACAGAAGTTCAGATCCTTACTCAGGCAAGTGAGTCCAGACCACAACATCAGAGCATTTTTAATCAAGGATCCTACTTCATTAGGATGTTTCCCAGGGAACCAGTTTGGCCTAATGATAGCAAATAGAACTTGACTGCTGCTTAATTAGAAGAGTATTAGTACAAATTCTACTTAATGGGACAGATCTTTACCAGTTCCAGGTGGGAAAGATGCTTACCCCACTGTGGTACAGGTGTGAAGTTCTAGCCTCTTAAAAAGGAAAGAAATTGCTAAATAAAGATTTGGACTCAGTCACCATTTCAAGTGTTTGTCAGTAGAGCAATGGCAATTCATGGTGTAATTTGGTTTGTAACACTGGTATAGCAGAGAAAAACACGAAGGCAGAAGGGGATCCCTGAGTCATCAAGCCAAAGCCTCTGGCATTGCAGGAAACTGGGAATAAAATGTTGGCCCCAAAACGTATATATAGGAATATCTGTTCCAGACATTCCTGCACACTGCAGCCACAAGTTGCCCACCCCCACCTCGCCCTTTGAGCCTTAGCGTACCAGAAAAGAAGGCCTTTTGCTGGTAAGATGGACAGCAGTTCCTCAAACAAAAGAAACAAAAGGAGAGAAAAGAACGAAAGAGGGACGTAGCAGTCAGCCCACAATTTAATACAGCCTCTGGCCGCACCTACACCCAAGAACCATGTTGGTACAGCTAGACCAGAAAACAGTTCCAGGTGCCTCCCCTCGATAAAAGGATTCGGCTGCTCTAGCTTATCCCTTGTAGATCCATAGATTGTAAGGGGCTGGAAGGGACCTTGGAAGATTATCAGGTCCAGCCCCCTGCATCAGGCAGGAAA